TATTGCAGTTTTATTTAGTTTTTACAACTTTGGAGAGTGACTTGACTCTTGACTACTTTTTTAGAATGCATTGCTATCTACATGTTTGTTTGATTTGGTTCTAAATCAATTTGTAGATGTTGCTTCTTTGCAACCATGTCAACACTAGGTGCCTATGTGGCATGCCATGAAAAATAGCCTCTCTTTTTTTTCTTTTTTAAAAAAAAAAAAAATTTACATAGCATTTTTGTTTTGAAAATCAGTTTAGATAGTTTGAATGGCTAACTAAAATAAAGTCTTGTTGGAGTACACATTAGCTAGAGTTGTTTGGCAAAATAGAGAGTGCAATTTTTTGTGTGCTTAGGCAAAATGCCTAGAAGTGTGAGTTTTTTCTTCTCTTTCTCCCTCACTTTTGCAAGGAACTAAACAGTACCTTTACCTCTTTCTACTTCTCAATCACTCCGTATTCATGTATATACTGGTGTCTTAACCTAATTGTTTTCCTGTGCTTTTTTGCAGCGATGGAAGCAGAGATAGTGGCGAAACCTCAGGCTGTGAATCCATGCTGTGTTGTGGTATTGATTTATTTTTAATTCTGGTCATACCATTTTTGTAGTTATTTTTTTTAATATGTGTTTTGTATGTGCAGTTGAAAGAGAAATACTCAAAGCTGGAAGCCTCACGGAATGCTCTTCGACAAGGTGTAAAGATCCAAAATGAACTCATTGATAAACTTCAAAAGGAAAGTCTCAATTTTAACAAAGGTATGCTCTTTATTTTTTGTTTGGTTACCATAAAACTGATGGTGAATAGGAAAATATGATTGAAGTATGTGGAAATTTTTTATTTCTTTTTAGATATCATTTCTCCTTCCCTTTTTCGTGATTTCATAGAATTTGTTTTAATCTGTTGTTTTACAAAGTTGGGATGTAAACATGATGGTAAATGGGTTTTCTTTTTCTCTTAGCAATTCCAAGCTCTGAACAAAGCTTTAGTGGAACAATCCATCTTAAATTCTGTCAATCCCCTTAAATTTTTTATGGTAATGCCTCGTGAAATTAAGGTCATATGGTACCTGAGGCTTCTGCTTACAGTTAGATTTGGGCAAGAGTAGGTATGTAGCCTTACCCCACTTTTTTAGGGAGAGGCTAATTCGCCATAGCTCTAGGGTGGATAGCACTTGTTATCACACCAGCTTATGACCTGTAAATACCATATGAAATCAAGAATCTAAATTTGGAGGTGCCAAAATATTAATTTTTCTTGCACCCTCCACCTACTGTTAAGGTGACCTTGAATTTCACTAGTTCATTACAATAAGATACAATGTTCATCCTTTAAGTAAACCTTTGCGTGCTCCAACCATTATTGGTCAATCTGCTACTTGTAGCAAATCTGTACAACCTCTGTTTTTCTAGCTTTGTGATGGTTCCATAGGAAAACCAATGTTCTGCCTATATATATATATTTATATATCTGTGTGCACGCACTTGTGTGTGATCTTTCTTGATGTAAGGTCAATGAGTTTATGATGGTCAAATGCATATAGGGATGCACATCCCTAGAAAAAGCTTCATCCATAGTAATTGGTGAGTGACGTTGACTTCCACTTGATATTGTCTAAAAAACTTTGAACTTATTTTCTGATGAGTTACTGTCTTCAGTTTCATCTTTAATAATAAAATAAAATTCATCGTCTCACCTGTCTGTTTGTAATGTTATCTATCCTCTTAAGTCACATGAACTTATACAATTAGATAACGTCTTGCTGTGACATGTTGACATAATACTGATCCCCATTGTGTTTTTGCATGGAAAGTTCAGAAGTACAATATATATGGAAGAAAAATGCCAATTTTGATGCAATGAAATCTGTGAGCGTATGTATGTTG